AAGACGGCCCTGCTGGTCACCTTTCGAGGGCCTGGCTCGGTTTCGGCCCGCAAGCAGTTCTGGATCGAGGAGGAGGGCAAGGTGTGTATTCCTGGTACCCGTACGTTTCCTCAGGGCCTGTCTTTGGATGCTGTGCGCTCGTATAAGCATCTTGGGGGTATGGTCTCGGACAAGCAGGACATGGCCCCTGAGCTGGCCTATCGGGCGTCCTCGACGTCGTCGTCGCTGCAGGCCCTACGACAGGCGGTATCTCCGAACCCTCAGCTTCCAGCGCAGCATAAGCTGCAGCTGTCCGAGGTGCTGATCCTCTCAGGCAGGCTCTACAATGCGGCTACGTGGCCGAACCCTACCGCTGCTCAGTTTAAGAAGTACCGTGCTGGAATCATTCGCATCTATCGGTCTGCGCTGGGACGGCCGGCCTATGATGATGATGCTGAGACAGACCAGGCCATTTTGGCGTTGGCTAACAAGTGCGACGTGGATATCATGATGCGCTGGCACCGTCTCCGCTATCTTACCCGTCTTTATAGGCGCGCTCTTGGGGATCTCTTTGGGTTGATTCGGGCTACGTCCGAGCCGAAGCACTCGCGGTTCAACATGGTTTTGAATGATCTGAGATGGCTCCGTACTCGGGTTTCTCGACTTTGTGAGTTCCCAAGTCCGTTCTCGGAGTTTGGGCCATGGGAGAAGGAGATCATGGGAAGGGGGCAGCACTGGGCGAACCTGGTTAGGTCTGGGATTGAAGCACATATCCGTTGGGCCAGCCGTATCGAGGATGCCAAGCGACGCGCGCATGAGTTGTTTCAGCATGCTGCGAGTATTGGAGTGCCGCCAGATCTGTCTCTGCGACCGGCTCCTGCGCCTGTTGTGCATCGCTGCCCGTGTTGCCCGTTCCTGCCCCCGAAGTGTGCTGCAGTCAAGTCTCATATTGCTCGACTTCATCATAGGCAGCGTGATGTTACCGCCCGATATATACATAGTAGTACATGCCCTATCTTTCTGATACGGTTTAGCTCTGTGGAACAAAGTATTGATCACCTGGCGCACGGCAACCAAATTGCTTCATCTCGGCCCTCCTGTTCCTGAGCCCTGAGGCTTCGGAGGTCTTGGAGGAGGTACGTGTTTTGGAGGCTTCTGAGAGGAAACAGGCCCGACAAAAAGGAGCCATGCGACGGGGGGGCCTGGCTCCTTGCCTATCGAGTTCCTGGACCTCGGAATGCCCCCCAAGCCACCCAGTTGCCCTATGTGGACGCTTGGCAGGTCATGCGTATTCTGGAATACCAGTACGAGGACGTCCCAGAGCCCATCTTTGAGGTCCAGAGTGAGGTGCCCCACTATGAGCCCCCACTGGAGGACGAGCATGAATTTGAACCTCTAGCCTATGACGGACCAGCGGCTGAGCGCTGCTCACGACCGCTACAGCATGCTGTGCTTGCTTTTTACATCTGTTCTCAGGAGCCCGGAGGACAGGAGATGTGCAGGAGGAGCTCGAGCGTATGCTGGTCTATGGGCCCGTGACCGTCATTATCATTTCCTGCGATGTGGCTTGTGATGCGGTGAATGGTGACCTGACTCGTGCAGATTTTGTGCAGAAGTGGGATGTGCTCCTGAGATCTGGCCGTGCTATAGGACTCATAGGAGGCCCGCCGTGCGAGACCTGGTCAGCTGCGAGATGGCAGGAGCTTCGGGTTGCTGATCGACTTCGCCCCCCAGCCCCTCTTCGTACTCTTGAACACAGATGGGGCCGCCCTGATGTTTCGAGCCGTCAACATTTGCAGCTCTCAATTGGAAAGCAGCTCCTGCTCAGCCAGCACCAGCTGATGCTGATCTGCCTGGGGGGGTAGGCGCGCGTGCGCTGAAAGAGCATCCAGAAGAGGCCCACTGGGAACCTCGTGCTCCCAGCTCGTGGCAGTCTGCCACGGCACGCGCCTTGTGCGCTGCCCCTCCCTCCAGAACTTTCAGTTCCGACCGATGTGTTTTCGGGCAGGTCAGCACGGCCCCGACGACGTTCCTGTGCGCAAGGCTCGACTCCATCGGGGACGAAATTCGGGGTCTGGGAAGAAGGGGGCGACGTGATCATCCAGAGAACACCCGCGCCACGTTGCTTGGTATCGACCCCGACACAGGCAAGTGGAGGACTGCGCCCAAAAAAGGTACCCTCAGGCGCTGTGTGCAGCAATGGGACGTGCAGTATCGGAGTTTGTTGCAGAGGCTTATCGGCCAAGTGACCGCGAAGCCCTGGACCCCGCGGATCTTTCTGATGGGCTGGGCCAGTTTTTATTTGTCAGGCCCTCGACTTCTATGCTGCTGCAGCCCCCAATGAAGGTATTGCTCTTGACTTTGCTGGTTTCAGTGATCGGGGGCCCAGGCGCCTCAGATTTGACCGCCCTGTTGTCCCTCAGGCCCCCCAGGACCATGGTGATGTGCCATGTCCCGAGCCCCCCCCGGAGCCCCAGGAGGAGGACGGCTCGGATCTTTGGCCTGATGAACCCGACCCTTGGGCCGAAGAGGGGATGCTGAGGACTTTGGAGGCGACTGGGGGCCCCTGGGTTCCCCGCCGCGCCCCCCCCCCCCCCCCCCCCCCCCCCCCCCTCCCCCCCCCCCCCCCCCCGCCCTCACCCGAGTGGGGCTCGCCACCGAGCTGCGGCAGGCCATCGCCCGCCGCCGCGAGCAGGCGAGGTTTCGCCGTGCTGTTCGTCGTGCCGTGCCAGCTGGAGGCCTCTTCTCTTCTGCTGCTGCTGCTGCGGTTGAGGCTCCTTTTCCCCCTCCCCCTCTCACGAATGAGGAGTGGGTCCGAGCCTGCCGAGCTCATGCCCTTCTCTGCTGCGCGGCAGGGCGAGGCTCAGACGGCGTGACGAGGTGATTGGGGCCCCTCGTCTTTCTTTTTTCTGTCACCAGTGTGCTTGCATAGTGCTTGGACATGTCGTGTGATATCACTCTTGTGGCTGCCCGTGAGCCCTCATGGTCCAGAATGTCCAGAATGCCCATTATTCCTCTTCCTCCTCATGCCCCCCCCTTTCCTCAGCCTTCTGCTCCTAGTGATTCCCCCTCTCCTGCTCCTCCGCCGCCCCTCCGTCCCCCCGCGCCCTCCCCCCCTCCAAGCCTCCTCCGTCTCGCCTCGCCTCGCTTCTCCCCCCCTCCTGCCATCCCCCGCAGCGGCCTGGCGCGTGCTCGTTTTCTCGGAGGAGGTCGCGCAGAGGAGCTGGGGTTACCCCAGCAGCGCACCGTGCTGATAGCTGCGGGGGTGAAGAGAGGCGGGGTCGAACAGCAGACGGTCTACTCCCAAGGGGCAGGGGTGAGAGCCCTCGTTCCGTTCTGCGGCGGCTCGGCGCGTGCCCGTTCACGAAAGAAAGTCGTGCCGCGGTGAGTCGGGCTTGCCCCCAGCAGCGCGCCTTGCTGATGGCAGCAGGGGTGGGAAGAGGCGGGCGTCGAGGCGAGGGCGATGGCGCGCCGGCGACGCCGGCGAAGGCGTTCAAGGCTGAGTTCTGCGACGCGGAAGCACCGAGGGACACGCTAATGTCATTGGACCCGACGGTGAAATCTTGAGGACGAGGTTGATCGATTTGCGCAGAGGAGTTGGGAGCGCCCCAGCAGCGCACCCCGACGGCAGCCGGGGGTGAAGAGGCGGGTCGAGGAGCAGGAGGTCTTTTCCCAGGAATGGAAACAAAAACACACACAGACACAATCAATCGCCGATCCCCAGGAAACTTGAGGAAATTATGGGGGGGTGGGGGGAAGACGAAAACCCACAATGTATGGGAAGCTATGGGGAGTCCTGACATTTGTGTGTGCTCATGTGTGTGTGTGTGTGTGTCCTGGACTCCGTTTATACTCCCAGGGAGCAGGGGTGAGACTACGGCCACGCGCGGCCTGTTTTCTTTCCTGTTTTCCCAGATCCCAGTCCACTTTAGCCGCCTTCCTCTTTCAAGACTCATCCCTCATGTTCCGGGGGCGGCGATCGAGCGAAAGCGGCGGGGGAAGCGAGAAGGGGCGGGCCCTTTTCAGAGGGCTCGGACATTCCCCCTGCGTTCTGAGAAGTTTTCTAAGTTGGGCGTCGCGTAATGGGAGCGATTAAAAGGAGCGGGGGGCACCGAGGGCTGAACAAAACGGGGCCGATTATGGCCCCCAACTGCGCCCTTATTTTCCCCCAAGGGCGCCCTTCATGGCCCCAACGGGGGCCTGTAGGGCCCGACGAGGGCACCTTCCTTCCCCTCCGTGTATCGCTCCCCCGCGAAACGACACCACCAAGGCTTCCCCGAGTGCAGGAGAGATCCCAGAAGGCCAGAGGCCTCTGAGACGCCCCGCCGCCTTCCGAGGAGGCCCTCTCCTTCTCGCCTCCCCCCCTCGCTCGCCGCCGACGTGGGTGTCCGCTGCAGCTGCCGGCCCGCGCGATCTCGGGGGGAGCCTCGGACTCCCCGCCCCCCCCTCGTTGCTGGAATTTCTTCTGCGGCCCTCAGTTCTTCGAGCCCCTTGCAGTGAGGCGGTGTCAGGGAGACAGGTCTGCTCCCTCCCTTCTCCCCCTCCCTCCCCCTCCCTCCTCCCTCCCTCCGCCCTCCCTCTCTCCTTCCCCCCTCTGCCATCCCTCCTCCCTGCTCCCTCCCTCCTCCCTCCTCCCTTCCTCCCTCCCTCCCTCCCCTCCTCCCTCCTTCCTTCCTCCTCCCCCCTTCTCCTTCCCTTCTCCCTCCCTCCCCCCTCCTTCTATCCTTCCGGGCTCCCAGGAACCCGAGTGGTGACGGACCGCGCGATGGCCGCGACCTCCCAAGATGCCTCACCGCGCGGTCAACCACCACACGGTCGCGGGGCCCTCGGAGGCCCCAGTCGCGTGAGACGCCTTTGGAGAGCGACTCGAGTCACAGACCCGTGCGGCGATCCCGCATCCCCACTGACTCACCACACGGTGTGGTCACCACACTGCTTGGGGGGCCCCCGAGCCCTCCGTCCGTGTTCCCTCCACCATCCGCCCTCCAACCTTCATCCCTCCCCCCCCTCTCCCCTGCGAGGTGCACCCCCCGGACCCGCTCGTGAAGTACGGTCCGAGCCCTCCGCGACGTGGGATGCAGCTCACGGGAGGTTTAATTCAGCATCGGTGTTGGCATATGCTTGGTCGAAAACCAGCCTAAGTTGGTGCACGATCCCGTTTTGGCGTTTTATGCAGTCTGGTCCGTCTCGATCCCGCTTGCCCCGGTTGAATCTTGGGCTTTGCTTGGGCAGATCCCGGTCAATGGCCCCTGTATCGGGTCGAGTGGCCTCCATCCGTTCTCGCGGGGACCTCTCGGAGCGTTCCGGAACGCTCTGAGAAGGCCGCGTCGCTGGAGACATCCTCCAGAGCCGCGGGCTCTCAGAGATGCTTGATTTCTCCTCGCCCGATGTTATCCTCGTCCTGGCTTCGTCTGAAGGGGGGGGCGCAGGAAGGATGGGCGGAGGGGGGGGGGGGGGCAGGGCCCGCAGGAGGCAAGCTGGCACGGGCGCAGACGTTCGTCCTCCCTCCTCCTCCTTCCTCCTCACTTCTCCCTCCTCATCCCTCTCCTCCTCCTTCTTCTCCTCCCGCTCCTCCTCCTTCTCCTCCTTCTCCTCCTCCTCCTCCTCCTCCTCCTCCTCCTCCTCCCTCCTCCCTCCCTCCTCCCTCCTCCCAGGAAGCCATTTCTTTATTGCTTGGGGCATGACGGGCGTCATGGCCCCCGCCCCCCCCCCCCTATCACGTAACGCTCCCCCCCCAGTGCGCTCCGGGCACTGCCGCCATGCGCATTGGGATCCGCGTAGGAATCCGCATAGGTGTCTGGTCCGCATGCGTCGTCGTCGTCGTCGTCGTCGTTGTCGTCGTCGTTCGTCGTCGTCGTTCGTCGTCGTCGCTCGTGGTTCGTCGCTCGTCGCTCATCGTCGTCGTGCGCGCGGACGCGGCTGGAGCCTATTTTTAAGTCCGCGCCGATGACTGCAATCATCTGGGGGGGGAGGAGGTCGATGACGTCACGTTTCGCGCCGGCGGCGTTTGGGAATGGTTAGGAATGACGGAGGACGGGTGGCACGAACATGTAGGTGGCGATATGCACCACAACGCCTGTGTACATCACAGTGCCCGCGTGCACCACAGCGCCTGTGTACACCACACCGCCGATGTACACCACAGCAGCCGCGTGCAACACAGCGTCAGTTTGCGCCACCGTGCCTGCGGGCACAGCAGCTCCTGAGTACACCACAGCGCCTCCGTACACCACATCAGCCGTGCGCAACACAGCACCAGTGTACACCACAATGCCTGCGTGCATTGCAGTGCCTGTGTACGCCACGGCGCCTGTGTGCACCACATCAGCCGTGTGCAACACAGCACCATTGTTGTGCATAGAATGTCAGAAGTAATCCTTGTGACAAAATTGAGCGCGTGTGGACTCCAGAAAAAAATCAGTGGAAAACAAATCCTCATGGACAAAGGAACGCCGCTGGAATCTACGAGTCCCCCCGAATCCGCCCGCATCACCCTAACTCCCATTTGCGTCCAGGAGGCTCCAGTTAAACTGGCCGTCCGGGAACCGAGTGGACCGATTCAATCGACCATTCTGCAGTGCACGCTGAGATGCGCACGTGCGTTGTAACGCCAAACCGAACGACAGGGGGTAAGAAGGAGGAAAAGGAGGATGAGGAGGAGGATGAGGTGGAGGAGGAGGGAAAAAGGGAAACACGTCGCATTCGATTATCAGAATTTTCCTGGCGTGGCGTTTAGTTGTCCTCATCAAATCCTGACGTACATGCTCATTCTACCTGTCCTATGCACGCAGGCGCTGTGGTGTACACCAGCGCTGCGTTGCACGCGGATGCGTTGGTGTAGACAGGCGCTGTGGCGTGCACGGGCGCTGCGGTGCACGCAGCCACTGTGGTGTACACGCGCGTTGTGTTGCACATGGTTGCTGCGGTGTGTGTACACCGGCGATGTAGTGTTCCCAAGTATTGTGGTATACGCGGGCGGTGCGTTGCACACGGCTGTTGCGGTGTACGCAGGCGCTGAGGTGCACACGCGCGGCGTGGTGCACGCGAGCGTTGTGGTGTACACAGGCGCAGTGGGCAGATCGCCACTTACATGCTGCTCGCGTCGTCGTCGTCGCTCGTCGTTCGTCGCTCGTCGCGTCGTGCGCGTGGGCGCGGCTGTGGTGCTGGAGCCACACGGCGGGGGGGGGGGAGTCACGTCATATCCCCCCCCGCCCTCCCCCCCCCCCATGACGCCCGTCATCGCCGAACGTAAAGAAACGCTTTCCAGGTCCGAACCGATTTCTTGTGTCGGCGGTTGGCCTCTTCGCAGCGCCTGTGGCGCCGTCCCTGGCGCGTTCCGCGCGCCTGGGAGGGGGGGGGGTCCGCGCGCAGCGTTCGCTGCGCCGTGCGCTACGAGCGCCTGGGAGAAAAGGGGGGGGGGGTCCGCGCGGATTGTTCTTGCGTCGGCGCTTAGCCTCCCTGGCAGCGCCCGCGGCGCCGTCCCTGGCGCGCTCCACGCGTCTGGGAGGGGCGTGTGGGAGCGGGGGCAGCGCCGATACAGTCGGGGCCCTGAAGAAGGAACCCTTTTCGTTGGGGAGGGGCCCCGCGTTCCTTAAGTGTTTCGCAGCTTGCCTCAGGTTTTCCTTATATTTTCGATAGGAAATCTAAGTTTATGGAAACAAAGGGGCCTCGTTCCTTGTTTTGGGCTCCTTAGGCCGAGGCCCCGACTGTACAAGAGATTCGCGCGAGCCTCTGGAAGTTTTGGCGGCTTGTGCAAGTTGCTGCCCTCTCCTGCAGGACGGGCAGACCGCGCCTCCTCTTGGCATCGCTCGGACGTGTGCCTCTTTCCCAACCGTGCTGTGGTGTTGGGTCCTCGTTTTGAAGAGACAGCGCCCCGCGTCACCCCTCTCCTCTCCTCCTCCCCCTTTCCCTCCTCCCTCCTCCCTGCGCTTCTCCCACACAGTACAGCGCTTCGTAGCCCCATAAGGGAGCTCCACGGAAGGTCCCAGTGGCGAAGCCCACATGCGTCACGCACACACACACACACACACACACACACACACACACACACACACACACACACACACACACACACACACACACACACACACACACACACACACACACACACACACACACACACACACACACACACACACACACACACACACACACACACACACACACACACACACACACACACACATTTCGGCACACCCTTCACCCGCTTCGTGGCCTCACAGGGAGCTCCACCGAAGGTCCCAGTGGCGCAGCCCGTATGCGTCACGCACACCCATGTCGGCACACCCCTCACACGTTTCGCAGCCCCATAGGGAGCTCCACCGAAGGTCCCAGTGGCGCAGCCCGCATGCGTCACGCACACCCATCTCGGCACACCCCTCACACGTTTCGTAGCCCCCATAGGGAGCTCCACCGAAGTTCGCAGTGGCGCAGCCCGCATGCGTCGCGCACACCCATTTTAGGTACACTTTTCACATGTTTCGTGGCCCCAGAAGAGCTCCACCGAAGGTCCCAGTGGCGCAGCCCGCATGCGTCGCGCACACCCATTTTAGGCATACTTTTCACACGTTTCGTGGCCCCAGAAGAGCTCCACCGAAGGTCCCAGTGGCGCAGCCCGCATGCGTCACGCACACCCATCTCGGCACACACCTCACACGCTTCGTGGCCCCATGCGGAGACACCTCTCACAGGTTTCGTGGCGGACCTCCACCGAAGGTCCCAGTGGCGCAGCCCGCATGCGTCAAGCACACCCATGTCGGCACACCCTTCACACGTTTCGTTTCCCCATAGGGAGCTCCACCGGAGGCTCCACCGCCCGCACGCGCCCGCCACACCCATGTCGGCGCATGCCCCACACGTTTCGTGGCCCCATACGGAGCTCCACCGAAGGTCCCAGTGGCGCAGCCCGCATGTGTCCGCCACACCCATTTAGGCACACTTTTCACACGTTTCGTGGCCCCATAGGGAGCTCCACCGAATGCCCCAGCCACCGCCCGCATGCGTCCGCCTCACTCATTTCGGCACACCCCTCACACGTTTCGCGGCCCCACAGGGAGCCCCATTGAATACGGTATTTGCAATTACGGCTCGCACAGTTGCACATGGTTGGGTCTCTCGCTGAGCTAATTGTCTCTGCCAGGACCATCGAAGATCTTAGGAGGATTTGGGATCATCTTGCGGAAAACAATCAAACACACACACACACATAAGATCGAATCATGCGCGAGGAAGGACGTCCGAGCGATGGCAAGTCGTGGGGTCTCGGGTGGACGGATGGCCTGCAGGAGGTGAGGCGGGGGGGAGTGGACGGGAGGCGGGATGGAGGAGGGATGGGGGCGATGGTGGAGGGCAGGGGGCGGGACGCGGGAGGAAGGATATATTACAGGAGGAGCCAGCAGGCAGGAGGCAGTAAGCGGGCGGGAGGAAGGATATATTACAGGAGGAGCCAGCAGGCAGGAGGCAGTAAGCGGGAAGGAGAAGGAGGAGGAGGAGGAGAAGCTCGCAGTCATCGTGGCCTTGGGCCCTGTGCCAATTCCGACCTGTCTTGTGATGGTGCCATTTAGCGCAGGCTTCAGAAGGGGGAAACAAATACAGGCACAAATGATCGTCGTTCCCGATGAAAATGTGGGAACATCTGGGAAGTGGGGGGCGAATCCGAATCTCCAGAACATAAGTATGGAAGCATATGGGGAAATCCTGGGCGTTGTGCCTATTTATTTGTGTGTCCCTGGGCCCCTCCAAGGCTGTGCTTCGCACAGCCTTGCCCTTTGCAGTCCAGGAGTCCTCGGGGAGGAGGTGCACCCCCTGGTCCCGCTTGTGAATGATTGTCCTCCTCCTACCCTCGTCTTTCTCCTTTCGCCAGCCACTTATCACTCAGTCATCCCCCTACCCCCTCTCGATCCTGCCTCCTCCCTCCTACCCAGTTCTCCTCCTTGTCCTCGAAAGTTGTTCTCAGCGGTGCGTCCGAGAGACTTACGCCTACCTCCTCCCCCTCCTGCCCCTCCTCCTCGTCCTCCTCTTCCTCGTCCTCCTCCCTCCTCCTCATGTCTCCCTCCACCCCCGCCTTCCCCACCTTCTCTCCAATGTTCCTCCTCCCTGGTTCCCTTCCCGTCCTCCCCCCCGAGTCACTCTTGCTGCTGCCCCCAGCTGCTGCCCATGCCAGCGGGGCCTTTGTGGCCGTCCCTTGCTGCCCAGGTCTGTCGACGATGGACTTCGACCAGCTGCTGGAGAAGCACCAGAACGACCCCAAGGTGAGGGAGGCCTCCTTGTCGTGATCGCTTGTCATCGTCGTCGTCCTCGTCGTTCGTCTTGCGAGGTCGTCCTCACCGTTGGTCGTCGGTCGTCGTGCGTCATCCTCCCCGTCTTCGTCGGTCGTGGTGGTGGTGGTCGTCGTCGTCAACGTCGTCTTCGTCGTTGTCATCGTCGTCGTGTTCAGTTTCTCGTCGTCGTGGTCGTCGTCGTCGTGGTCGTCGTCGTCATGCGTTTCAGTGAAACCGGGGGGCAAGCCACCACCGCCGAGGCTTCGCAGGCTGCTAGCGCCGTGCAGGAGCCGTCGGCGAGCCCACCGCCCACCGCGTGGCCGTGACGTCGAGCGAGCCGCGCGCACAGAGTTGCCGTGGAGAACACGTGCAGCACCGCAACCCCACAGGTGAGACGGGCGCGGCCCAGTGCAAGGATAATGCTGTGAGTCAAAGGCATGCTTTGTTTGAAGAAGAATAGACGCCATAAACATAATGTTTGGCCCTCCGCGCGGATTCCTTGGATCCGCCCTGGGCCCCCCACCCCTAATGTGTTCGGCCCTCCTTAGGCCCCCTCCCAGCGGGTCAGGGGCATTTAGAGTGTTCATCAAGAGGGGCTCAGGGCAGAGGGAAGGAGGAAGGAAGAGGGTGGAAGACATGGGTCTTCTGCGCAATGAAGGGGGAAGGGGAACACAAAGAAGACGAAGCTTGTGAAGTGCAGGTGTGTGTCGCTCGGTGCGGCCACGACCGAGAAGAAGCAATCTGAGATTTGCAGGTGGGCCTGCAGAGGCGGGGGAGGGAGCCCTTGCTCGGCGTCACCCCAACATACTTATATTCAATCGTTTCGCTCATTCCGCTTGCCCATATTGTAGCATCGCTGGCATTTGCTTGCGTGCTTGGGGGGGCATTTAGGGGGGCCTCCTGGTGCCGCTTGAGGGTCTTTTGGGGGCCTCCTGAGGGCCTCGTGGGGGCACCTTAGGGCCTCTCGGGGGCCTCTTGAGGCCTCTTGGGAGCCTTTCGGGGGCCTCTTGGGCGTTCCTGGGGGCTTCTCGGGGCCGAGGGCTCGAGGTATCCGTGCGGGTCTCCCGTCTGGACCCCCTCTTGGAGCCGTCTTGGTGGCCTCTTGGGCTGTCTTGGAGACCTCTTGAGTCGTCTTGGGGCCCTCTGGGGCAGTTTTTGGTCCCTCTTGGGGGCCTCTTGGGCCGTTTTGGGGCGATCTTGGGGGCCTCTTGGGCCGCTTTTGACGCTGTGAAAGCTCAAGTGGCGAATCTGCTAAAAACATAGCTTAAGGAATGGGACGATTTGTGCCTCTTGGGGCCCTCTTAGGACACCTCTTGGGGGCTCTGGGTGCTTGTTGGGGCGTCTGGGAGCCATCTTGGGCGTCTTGAAGCGAGCGTGTGGCATCTCAGAGCACTCTTGAACCATCTTGGGGGGCTCGTAGCGGCCTCGCGGCCCTTCTTGGGGCTCTCTGGAGGGCCTCGAGGGCGGCGCCCAGGAGTAAAACCATCTCTGAGTCGGACCGCCCGGGACTTTGGTACTTCTCGTCCGGAGACCCCCAGGGGCCGCCCCGCGCGCGCGAACTAGAAATCCTGCAGAGGCGGGGGAGGAAGCCCTTGCTCGGCGTCGCCCTAACATACTTACACTATATGTGCGCCGCCCCCCCCCCCAAGGGGCGTTGCGCGCAGCGAGAAATCTTGTAGTATATGCGTCGAGGCGGGCGCTTCCTGGCCACACAGCTCGGCAAACGACAAACTACAAGATGGGTATACTATATGTTCGGTTCGGACGCGCGCCTCCTAGGAGAACATCCAGTATTAGTTGTCTCTGTGCGTCCCACACTTCGGGGCTGCTCAAGGTGCCCCTTGGCCCGAGGTGCCTCCAGCGTCTCGCTCCCTTCTGGGGAGCCCGTGGGGCCCTCTTGTCGCCCACACGTAAGAGTGACCCTTCGCCGGAGTGACCTCTGGTGCGGGCTCATAGGGCTCTCCCCGATCGCCGAGCGCGATGCGAGGTCAGCGGCCCGCGCCCTTGGGTTTGGCTCCCTCGCGGCCCCAAAAAAGCTGCGCACCAGAGGTCACTCTTACCCAGGGCCACTCTTACGTCCAGCCGATCTTGGGCCTCGGGAGGGGTGCTCCGGAGGCCGCGGGGAGGGCCTCCTGGGCCTGCCATGGCGGCGCGCTTGCCCACCGGCGCCGGGCCCCCGCCGAGGCCATAGCCAAGATCATGGGCGCGCCGACGCAGGACTCCTGTGCCTCGAGCCACGTCCAGGTGCGGCCGCCCCCGCCCGCCCCCTGCTGCTGCCGGGGGGGAGGAGGGGGGGAAGGAGGGGG